CATGACTCAAAGGCATTGTGAACTTCAGGGAGCAGACGATGGAGAGAGCTAAGGGAAGACTGGTGGAAAGGCTATGTAAGAACCTGTTATACCTCCACATCCTTCTCTGATACTCCCAAAGCACCACGTTTATTCTTTGGAGAGGGTCAAACAGTAAGTCTCAGGGCTGGGTTGCCAGGCACAAGTGAAGGCAGGGGCACTCCTTCAGTGAGCTTTTTACTGTGTAGAAAGCTAACCCAAAACACAGTGGCTTAAAAGCAAATATTTATTAATTCTCATGATTCCCTGGACAAACTGGGAAGTTTCTGGTCTGGGCTGGGTGGTATAAACAGTGTCATTCACATGCCTGGGGCCAATAAGCCACTCATCCACCAGGGCTTGTTCACTGGAGGCAGAATGCCATGCTGAATGCAAGACAAAGCTCTCTAGCATACCATTTGGTCACATTCTATTGGCAAACAAGTCCCATGATCATAGTCAATTCTGCAAAATTCTAAACAGTTCTTTTTTGTCTACACAAGGATACTAAAAATGAGAATTAAGAGCAAGTTTATATCCAGAATAATAATAGATGTCTTCGAGCCCTCTTACCTACTTGACTCCCAGGACATGGGCAGCCACGCATATACTCCAAGAGGGACCTGGGCAGTCTTCTCTGAAAAAACCAACCAGCAAGAAAAAAGACAAATGATCTGACATCACAAGTTCCCCAATTTAAGGGCTTGACAGAGAGGTCCAGTGCAAATACTACCCTCATCCTGAAAGCTAGTTTCCAATCAACTTCTTAACCTAACAGTCTTCAAAGCAAGCAGACAGCCAAGAACATGAGAGTAAGAAAAACAGAAATATAATTTTTTAAATGACCAAAGCAATCTAATAATATTTTGACTGTGTTGGTTGTTATATGACTATATTTGTGAAAACTCAGAATTATATGCTAGAAAGGGTAAATTTTACTATATATAAATTATACCTCAAAAAACTGTAAAAAGAACTTTGAAGAAACAGATATATAAAAAGAAGAAATTGTAAAAAGAAAATTATCATTATCATTAATATCCTCAAGGAGGTAAGAGAAGAAATTGAAAAACAGAACCCCTAAGAACAAAAAAGATTTCAGAATTTTTTGTTTAATTTCAAACAAAAAGAGTTCTTGTTTGAAATTAAACATATGAGAGAAAAAGACAAGGCCGAAGGACAAAATAAGCCACAAGCACCAAGTACACAAGGGTCCTAGAAAGAAAGAACAGAGAAAACAGAGGAAAGAAAATCATAGGCATTAATGGGGAAAAAAATTCCTAAAACTGAAGAGTGTGAATTTGCAGAATGTAATGTCCCAGCAAGTGAGCAGCAGAGTGAAAACAAACAAACCAACAAAAATAAAACCACACCAAGCCAAACACAACATGGTGAAATTTGAGAACTGGAGACAAAGAACAGATAATATAAGGGTATAAGCATTCAGAGAGAATAAAATATAGGTTTCATACAGAGGACTAAGAATTAGAATAGCTTCAAGCTCCTCAACAGCAAACTGAAAACCAGAAGACAATAGAGAAATGCCTTGAAAATTCTAAGAAATGATTTAACATAGAATTCTCTACTGATCAAATAACTGACTTCAAGAGAGGCTAGAATAAATACATTTTCAGATATCCAAAACACCAACAAATTTGCATCCCATGTGCTCAAGTAACTACCTAAAGGATGTGCGTGGCCAAAATTCAAGAAAACAAGAGTGTGGGGGATGTGTGAGGAACAAGACCAAAAAATAGAATGGATCCAAAACAAGAGAAGGAAATTTCCTGACTACAAAGGTAACCCCCAAGATAATAGACATGAGCAGCTGCTACAGCATTAACAACCCCAACCCTTCAGAGCGGCTTGACGAAGAAAATGAAATTGATGGAGTGAAATATTCACTGTGTTGGAAAGGGCTTAGGAGAAACTTCCTACTCAGTCAGGGAATCATGAGGATTAATAAATATTTGCTCTTTTAAGCCACTGTTTTTGGGTCATAGTTTAGGACTGAATTAGTAAGGAGTACATAGACAACCAAGCCCCCCTCCCCCAAAAAAGCAAACAAAAACCACAATATTTACTTAACTTTCAAGAAAAAAAATAATGGGCAGGTAAGGAAGAGTAATCATAGCACATTGCACAGGTCAGCTGTAGTTTGGATGGTCACAATTCTGTAAAAATAGGGTAAAACCTTATCAAAATGAAACTCTAGTGGAGACTGGGAGAAAACTGAGTATGTGAACAGTGAGACCAAGGAGGTAAAAGATAACCAAATGCTATCTTCCATTCATCCTTTTAGTGCAGAATTGTTACCTGAAGTTGAAAAAAACATTCAAATACCAAGGAAAGCATGCCTTGAGATACTGGAGCAAATATCCAAACAGCTAAAGGAGTTTTAAAATTGTTTCCATCTAGCCCTGACAGGTGTGGCTCAGTGGATTGAGTGCTGGCCTGAGAACCAAAAGGTTGCAGGTTCAATTTCTAGTCAGGGCACATGCTGGGGTTGTGGGTCAGGTTCCCAGTTGGGTGTGCGCAAGGGGCAACCAACAATGTTTCTCTCCTATCGCGCATTGATATTTCTCTCCCTCTCTTTCTCCCTCCCTTCCTCTCTCTAAAAATAAATAAATAAAATTATTTCCATCTAAAGAGTAATAAATGGTGGTGGTCGGGGTGGCAGAGCCTATTCCTGTAATTGTACATGCTATACTTTTATACAACTAGCAGCACAGTTTTATTTGCACCAGCATCATCACAAACATGTGAGTAATGTATTACACTATGACAATATTCACAGCTATGATGTCACTAGGCAACAGGAATTTTTCAGCTCAATTATAACCTTATGAAACTATGATTGTATTGTATATGTGGTCCACTGTTGACCAAAAGGTTATACAGGACATGACTGCATAGCTTCAATTAAAAGAATTAATTACTCAGCCCTAAGAAAGAATGAACCTTACCATTTGTGAGAGCATGGATGGATCCCAGAGGGTATTACACTAAGTGAAGTAAGTCAGTCAGAGAACAAATACCATATGATTTCATTTACATGTGGAATCTAAAGAGCAAAATAAACAAACAAAGCAGAAACAGACTCGTAGATACAGAGAAGAGACTGATGTTTGCCACAGGGGAGGGGGGTTAGAGATTGGGTGAATAAGGTAAAGGGATTGAAAAGTACAATTTAGTAGATACAAAATAATTACGGAGATAGTAAAGTACAGCATAAGAAATATAGTCAATAATATTAAAATAACTAGGTGTCTGAAATATTGGGGAACTGCTTTGTAAAGTACATGACTGTCTAATCGCTATGCTGTATACCTAAAACTAATACAAAATAATACTGAATGGCAACTGTAATTGAAAAAAATAAAAATAAACACTTTTGATAATATGCTGCAACAATTCTGGATATTGGTGATGCACGAGGAGTTGCTTTTGCTATTTATTTACTGACTTGCCTGCATTAACTTATAGTTTATCTCTCCTGCAGTGTACGGCCACTGATATTTTTGCTCAGTTTGGATTCTTCTTCAATTGCTTTTACTTTTAAGCCTAGATTTCTACGAGTCACCCTGTGTCAGCACAGTTTAGTTAACCAGAAGTTATGCTTAAGCAGCTTAAACCAGTAAGGCTTTCAGCCTTTGCTAATGGATTTATGTGAGAATTGGGGAATAGAGTCAAAGATCAGGCACTTTACAAGCTAGCTGCAGCTTTTACTTTTTGCTGGGCTTTCTTATGTCTCTTCTACACCTACACTGGACATCATATTCAGCCAGTGAAGATAATAACTAGACCATCACTACCTCTCTTCAGCCTATACACTGCACCTCACCCAAATGCACCTTTTCGAAACCACCAGGCATATGTATAAGCTTACAAGGTCCCCTGTGTAGAAATATATATATATACACATACATATAAAAATAATTTATTAAATACGAAAAATACTAGATAGTCAAGTCACTTGGAAAATTATATACCTAGCTTTTCAAAAGGCCAAGAAAATCCATACAACTACTGATTTTAAAAGCATCTCCTCAGAACAGTAGGATTTCAAAGACAAAAACAAGATGTAAGACCACTCACTTTCTAGCTTACAGCAGCAATTATGGTACTGTCTTAGTCTCCTGGGTGCCCAATCACCTTGTAGAGGGTCCCTTTCACTTCCTTGGAGTGAATGAGATTTCACTCCAGGTATGCACTATCCTAACTTCCTACTGTGTCCAGCCAGAATGCCTCCTCTGCTCCCTACTCTGATAGGCTAGGGTCCCCACCTGGCTTAAAAGGCATCTCTCAGGCACGTTCTTCACTCTCTCCCTTCAGCAGAGGTACCTGCAGGCTATGGGTGCGGAGCCTCCAAGGTTAGAAGAGTTTCTTCCTAAGATCTACCTATCCAAAACTAAATCCACAAAGTCATGGCAGCACCAACCACCCGCAATTCCAACATATACCTCTCCCCACAATAGCCAGATGATGGGCAGGAAAGGCTCTACCTGGGCACCTTTCTTTCTTCCCTTCCTGAAGTCTACTGTCCCCTGATTTTTCCCTACATTTCCCTGGCTCCACTGCTTTCCTCCACAAGTCTCTACTATTTTATGGTGAAAAAACATTAGACATGAACTGCAAATACTGTACTTGCATTACTAACACATCACTTAATGCCCTATGCCCTTTGCCCCAGTTTTTTCCATCTATAAATAAAAATAATGTTAAGGATAGAGACCATTTGGTCATCTCTATAGATTCCATCATGCCTAACACAAGATACACTGAAATATTCACAGTGAATAAATGAATGTACCCAAAGCCACACTTCTGAGGAGCAATCCTCAATAAATAAACTCTTCTGCTGCTAGCACTCTCACTTGGAAAAACCCTGGCACACAACCCAAAGCTGTACCACAATGTCCTCAGGGATGCAGAAGATTCCTCAGGTACTGCAAAGATAAAGAATGGAAAGCAGGACATACCTGGAAGGACGTGGGAATACAGACTAGGTTCAGGTTTTCTTGTTTCACTCTTTCGGCTGTGGAGACAAAAGCCATGCTGGTGGATTTTCACTCTTCTCACTTTATTCTTCCTGTCACATACACATTTGCTCAAATCCAACAGAAAACGAACACACTACCCCTGATGGCTGCCTTTCATTCTGTGTCCCCATTCTTGGTGAAAAAGTTGGTGCCCTTAACATCTCACATAACAAGAATGGGATATTACAAAGCCTAAGGAAGTGAGTACTAACTACAGAAAGAACAATGCCAGTGCTTGCCATTATTATTATGATTATGATTATGATTATGATTATGATTATTATTATGTGCCTGGCAACATCCAAAGAACTGTGTACAAATGAACTCTTTCAATCTTAAAGATAAGTTACAACTATTTTCTCCATTTTACAGGTGAGCAAACTGAGGCACAGAGAGGTAAAGTACAGTGACAGGGTAGTTACACAGGTATCCCAGGAGGTTTAGCTTCCCAGCCTTAACAGTTTCCCTATAGTGCCTTGTACAGGGTAAACCTAGAACTCAACTTTTATGTCTAGTAAAAATATATAATCATTTGTAGACCCCAGAGGGTTGTTAGAATGGGTTTATTTATTCATTTGGGGGATTGTACCTTTCAGGAAAACTTGATTTTTAAAAAGTCTAAACAAAACACTGTCTTAAAATTTAAGTCCTTTTAATTACTGGGTTGCATCTTGTGAGGTTTAGATATCAATATTATGAAATCCACAGATAATTCCTGTGCTTAAAATCCTCCACACACTCAGTGCTAAGGCAGATCATGTATGAAGACCACGTCAGGCCAATGAGAACACTTCTAGGAGCCAAAACACGGGCACTACAACCAATCCTGAAAGACAAAGCGTGGCTGGACTTTGTCTCCTGAGCACCATCCCCGCACCCCCCACAACCCCCCCCCCATTGCCCCCCCCCCACCACACCCTCCCCCCCAATCTAGATGAGGTCAGCATTCAGGCAAGCCTCTCCTCTGGGCTTTGTTCTTACAAACAAGAGCAGGGCAGTAAAACCTGTTGAGCAGCCACAGGGGCTGACAACTCCTGAGCCTTTCCTAAGCACAGAGACACCCTAAGCAGAGTAAAGTCAGCACCTGCGGGAACCAGCCACCAACTGCAGGCACCTTATATTCTCTCTAAAGTCAAGCCTGCAGTGATCTAGAATTCTGTTGAGATGTCACCTTAAGTCTGCCCCTCTCTTCCAGGTGAATAAATAAAGGACAATCCCCAAAGGTGGCCGAAGAGGTCCAAGAATCCCTCTCTCAAGGAAGAGCAGGAACACTTAGCTGACCTTAGGCAAGCAACCCTTCCTCCCAGCTCCATAGTGCTGGAGCCACACCCAGCCAGTGCCAAACCTATACCCCACCCCCACCCCCAATCTTCCACCTCCCCATACCCACCACACCACACAAAATATCCAGGAAACAGCCCAAGACCATACCTATTCGCTGCACAGCATGGACAATTGTAGAACCACTTCCAATTCCCAGCACTTGATTATTCTGCTCAAAAAGAGAAAAAACCCAGAACATTAATACCATCATTTATTCCCTCTTCAGCCCACTTTCCAGGGCTATAAAGTTATTATAAACATTAATGCACCCACCTGGGTGCAAGGCAGGTAGTATGCCCCTTTTACAGAAACATAACCATTGAACCTTAAAGCTGTACTTTATTTAGTGCCCAGTGGCAATTTATTAGCAGAGCCCTCCCCCTTTTATTTGACACTAACATCACCACTTCCTCCTGTTAAAAGATAGACTAAGGAATATTAAAATGTTAAAAGAGTCCTGGCTGGTGTGGCTCCGTGGATTGATTGCCAGCCTGGGAACCAAAGAGTAGCCAGTTCGATTCCCAGTCAGGGCACATGCCTGGGTTGTGGGCCAAGTCCCTAGTAGGGGGTGTGCAAGAGACAACTACACATTGATATTTCGTTCCTTCTCTTCCTCCCTCCTTTCCCCTCTCTAAAAATAAATAAAATCTTTTTTAAAAAATGTTAAGAGTTTATTTGAGCAAAAATTTATTTGAATTGGGCAGCACGAATCTAGCAGATAGAAAGGAGCTCCAAGGAACTACCCAAAATGAAAGACTTTTATGTACTTTCCTTTAAGGGTGGCAGGGTCTATCAGGCAGATTACCCAACTACTATTGATCAGGTATTTCCTGATTGACTCATTTAAAATTCCATTTCTGGGAGAGCCAAAACTGTAATTAAGTCTCGGTTTGGTGAGCTGGGCTTAGCATAAGTGACTCCATGTTGGGCCTGCTGTCTAATATTTAACACTCCCTATATCCTATCACAGAAAAGGCTTGGCTCACATACAACATAGAGCAAACTAAGTTGGCCTCCCAAAAATGGCCTGCAGGTGAGCACTGAAAGATTCCTTACCAACCCCTGGGTGAGGCAATTAGCAAACAAAGGCACCAGGCATTAATAAGTCAAGGTTTCTGGCTTCAGTGCCTTTTCACAAAAGTTTAACATCTAGAAAGGCAGGAGACAGACTATAGACACCTGCATGTTGCTGGCATCAAGGGGAACCTGAGGGACATATCCAGACCACCATCTAGACCCCAGTGTTAACAGAAGAGGGAAGAGTCTGAAGTAACCTTGAAATAGCAAATTATATCAGCATCTTTCCAGCTGATGCCAAGGGTTCCATATTTTGCATACGCCTGTTTGAAAGAATATGGAGAGAGGGTAAAGGCTTAGTTAAAAACATGAGAAAAAAAGGCTTTATCTGCATTAGGAAGAACATGTAAACATGTACACTTCCTGAGTACAAAGGACAAGAAATAGGCATCATTACTGAGCCTATCTACTTAACAAAGGGGGAAGGATCTAGCAGACTAGGGGAAGAGCAGGGCCCCAGCAGAGGTCAGTTAGTGTTGGGAACCGCCCTGACTGGTATCAGAAGCTGAAACCCCCGCCTAGCTAAGGCTAAGGGAACGCCCTTGGAACCGTGAGCCAGCAAGGAGACAAAAGCTTATCTCCCTGGCAGGAATGCTGCTTCTGCTGCTGAACCCCCAAAAGCTTGGTCGGTTAGCCAAAGACGGGTAAGATTCCCCACGGGGGAACAACCCAAGCCAGACATGATCACTTTGGGAGGCCCCCCAAAAGAAGGACTTGGGGGGCTGCAGCAAAAGGGGGTGATGGACCCTCACTCCTCGGCTTTGACAAAGTCCGAGTTCTCAGCATCCGGAAGAAAATCTCCTTATCTCTCGGTGGCCTTAGTTCCCGCGCTCCACCTAAGCCTGAAACAATGACAGGGTGGTACAGCTCGGTACTGAGAAGTGCGGATTTCCCGGGGTGATCAGGCCTAAGAAAGAACATGTAAATTACTGTGAAACCTTCTTTGTTCAAGAATGCTCTCAGTTGAATGAGAAGGGTCTTAGGAGGAAGCTAGTTTGTTCCTCAGCCTTACAGCTCTTTGACCCCCAACTCAATAGACGGGCAGAGTTCTTTGTTTTCTATAGTTCCTTACTTCCCCTGGTGAGTGCTGTACTTTACCTGAATTATTATGCAGGATGAGCCTAATAAAAGCAGGTATGGACGGTAAATCAGCGCGCTCCCCACTAGGGGGGGTGGCCATTCTGTCCCTACTTCCCCACAGAAACTAGTTTGTCTCTGTGCATGTGTGTTTTTTCTCGCGTATTGTCGAGCCATCCACAGCGTTCCGTGGTCACTGCTGGCCGGTGACCCACACGCAACAAGTTAGACCACAAACAACACAAGGTCAAGGTACAAACAGTCAGGAACTAATGTGGAGCTAAGTTCTCAAGCAACTTCCTGGAAACAATCTCTTGCCAGTCTAAGGCAAAACAGCTAAAAGCCAAAGCAGCAACTACCATTTATTAAGCATCTTCCAAGAAGATTTATAAATGTTACTATAAATCATACCTCCCAACCCCTTATAATATAGTGATATTATCCCCACTTTAGAGATGAATTCAACACTCTAAGGAAAAACTTAAGGCTTAGAAATGAGCAAAAGAGATTACTGAATGTCCACTCAATGGCATGCTACATGCTGGAGCCTGTAGGTACTGTATGACCTCACCCTACAGGGGTGTGTGCCTTTGCCTTTGAAAAGGCATAAGGAACCTCTGCCCAAGGCCCCAAGGATGCCAGATAACCAAAAGGAACGCTAAACCACAAAATGTCATCACCCTTCCATTTCCTGCTCAAAAACTACAGAAGTAACTGATTTTATCTCCCTTCTAAATGCCTGCTTCAACTAACCCATATGCACAGTGGATCAATGTTTTGACCACTATTCAACCCTTCTAGGGTGGCGGTAATGAGCAGTCAGTCATCTTGTCCCTATAGCTCAAGAGCCAATGTGCTTACCAGACTAAAGAGCTGGAAAAAAAAGTCACCCAAGCCTGGAATGGGAAATTCTGTAAGCCTATGTTTCTCAAAAAGTATACCTTTTCAGGCAAGCCCAATTTGTCCCCATTTTATAAAAGCAGCCAAGCAGAGTCATCCCCCAGGGCCATGTCAGAGGATGGTCCTTTCCTCTGTGTTGCTTCTTTGTGCTTCAGCAAAAGCTTAATAAAATCTGCCTGGAATTTTCTAGCAGGGGTGTCCCAACCTTTTAGCGTCTCTGGGCCACACTTGAAGAACAGGTGTCTTGAGCCACACATTCAACACACAAACACTAACAAAAACTAATGAGCAAAAAAAAACATTTTAAGTAAACTTATGATTTTGTGTTAGGCCACATTCATAGCCACCCTGGGCTGCATGCAGACCATCGGCTACAAGGTTGGGCACCCCTGTATGGGGTTTTCCTCTTGATTTGTATCTTGGGGAACCCAAGCACTCCAACACTAATAACACCTTCACTAGGCTATTTTACAACTCCAGAAATAGATTTTAACTTGCAGAAAACTGTTAAAAATGAATAGCTCTTGTCCGTAGAAATGCAAATTAATTATATTTTGTAAGATCCATTTGATTACTACCCTAGAGATAAGTCTTGTAAGTTTAACATTTTTGACTGCATTTTAATTTATGGTTCTTTCTTCCAGTCAAGATGGTGGCATAGGTAAACATGGTACGCAGAAACTCTCACAACATCAAAACTACAACTCAATCAGAGAAAAACCTTATCATTCAAAACACCTGAAATCTAGATGAACAGAAGTCCTACAACTAAGTATATACAGAAGATCCCACATCAGACTGGTAGGAGGAGAAGAGACAGGGAACAGGCTGGTCCCACACCCATATGTGGTAGTTAAAAACCAGGAGTGATATCTGCCCTGGCTGGTGTGGCTCAGTGGACTGAGCACCAGCCTGTAAACAGTGGGTTCAATTCCCATTCAGGGAGCATGCCTGGGTTACAGACCAATGTTTCTTCCTCTCTTTCTCCCTCCCTTCCCTTTTCCCATAAAAATAAATAAATAAAATCTTTAAAAATAATCAACCACCCAGGAGGGATATCTCAGCTGTAGAGGACCCCGTAAGGAGCAAGGAATCCTAGCCCCACACCAGACGCCCCAGCCCAGTGTTCCAGTGCTGGGAAGTGAAGTCCCCATAACTTCTGTTTATGAAAACCAGCAGGGATTGTGGTTGAGTGAGATGGAGTTTTTAAAGTCCCATGCACTCCTCTTAAATGGCCCGAGCAGACTTACTCTGACTCGCTCTGAGCCCCAGCAATGGGACAGCAACTGGAAAGGTGCTAGGGTCGTAATCAGAAGAAATAGTGTCTGGCTTCAGGGTGAGGGGTGGAGGGCCAACTCTCTCCCAAACATCCCAAACAAAAGTGTTGGCAGAGGCCATTGTTCTTTTGCTGAGTCCTGCCCCACAGACCTGGCTGGCAGGCACCACATCTGAGTCTCCATCAACTTCCTAACAATATTAGTTTCACCCTGGTGATTCCCTGAGACACAGCCCCACCCAACTTGTGGGCCCACCCAAGCTGTTTCTAGTGGCTTTCCCATACAAATGGCCTATCTTGGCTGATACTTTACTTTCCTAAATCTCTCAAACAAGAAGCATCTGGCCTCTGCAGGAAACCTCTTGCTAAGTGGCTTTAGGCCCAGCACTAAAGGCAGGCAGCCAGCCTCTCTTCACAACTTGGCCTCTTCCAAGCACTGCCAAGCCTAGCACAAGTAGCAGCTACCTGTAGATCACTCTGTAGCTCCTGACAGGTGGGCCCAGGTAGGGACCAAGCAGCAACTGACCTTGTACTTCCAGGGAGGTCACACAGCCAGTGCACACAGTGGACAGCTTCAGACTACGCTGGATTACAACTCTGCTATCTCTACAAGTGAGAGACTCAAGGGGAAGGTTCAGTGAACACCAAAGCCCCAGTAAAGCAAGTCCTGCTCCATAAGGTCGGCTCCTGCACAGCAGCTCCTCTGCTGTAGTCACAGCCAGCCATCACAGCCAACTGGCCTGGGGGTAAATCCCTCCTAATGACACCAATAGCAATCAAGTCTCAGCTATGACAGAACCCTACACACAGCCCACAGAGAGGTGCACCTGGAGCACCCATTTCAGGCAACTTGGGAGGCTGAGCCACTTGAGCCCTACAGGACACCTACTACATAAAGCCACTCTACCAAATCTGGGACAGATAGCAGCTCTACCTAATAAATAAACAAACACAGTGAAGCAGACAAAATAAGAAGACAAAGAAACAGGTCCCAAATGAAAGAACAGAAAAAATCTCCATAAAAAGAACTAAATGAAATGGAAGCAAGTAAACTACCAGAGTTCAAAACCATGGTTATAAGGACGCTCAAGAAACTTAGTAACTTCCACAGTATAAAAAAGAACAAGTCAGAAATAAAGGATACACTAACTGAAATGAACAATAAGTTACAGTGATCAATAGTAGAGTAGATGAAACAGAGTCAAATCAGCAATTTGGAATGTGAGGAAGCAGAAAACATCCAATCAGAACAGCCAAAAAAGAAAAAGAAAAAAAAAAGACGCACAAGCACAAGAAGAAGAATCCAAAAATATTAGATAGTGTTAAGACTTTGAGGCAACTTCATGTGTACCAACATTTGCATCATGGGGGTACCAGAAGAGAAAGCAAGGAATTGAAAATCTATTTGAAAAAATGAGGATAAACATCCCTAACCTAGTGAAGGAAATAGACACACAAGTCCAGGAAGCACAGAGTCTCCCAAACAAGATGAACCCGAAGAGGCCCACACCAAAACACATCATAATTAAAATGCCAAAGTTAAAAATAAAAAGAGAATCTTAAAAGCAGCAAGAGAAAAGCAGATGATTACCTACAAGGGAACTCCCATAAGACTGATTTCTCAACAGTTACTTTTTAGGCCACAGGACTGGCATAAAATATTCAATGTGATATAAAGTAAGGACCTACAACCAAGTTTACTATATATGGCTTCAAAGAGAACAAAGGAGGCTATGGACCCTCAGAAGAGCAGGGACCTGGATAGTAGCCCATCCTGGGTGACTATACTCCCAGAAACACGCAGATATGAGTTCAGGGTGGTTACCCAAAGGATTCAGTTCAAAATTCTCCAACTTCTACATTCCAGATGTGGAAGTGGTTACCACATTGGAACACCCATGGGCTAAGGAATTGGACCTACACCTAGAAATTCAACCCACCAATAATCCCACAACCTCCATATTTATTTTCATATTTCACACAATTCATTGAATATTTACTAGGCAGCCATCAGTGGGACCAACACTGAATGAAAATAAGGTTAACTACTGTCCAGGAGCTTACCCTTTATGGGGCTGGAAGACATAAACACAAAAATGAATGAAACATAAGACACCTGCATAAGGCGCCTAAGGTATAAAGTACTACAAAAATCAAAGAGAATCTGCCCTCCTCTTACGAGGCTAAGAAAAAACTGAAAGGAAGAACTGGTCTTTGAACCAAATCTTAAAGGACACATGATTTTATCATAAAAGCAAAGGACAAGAAAGAGCATTCTAGGTTGAGGATGATAATGTTAAAGCACACATTATCTGCCAGTAGTCTGACTTTTGCAATGTTTGAGTACACAGGGAGACAGGAGTACAGAAGGAAACAAGTTGGTGGGATTGAGGACAAGCACCAGAGTCTCTTGTCTATAGGTCCTCCCCACCTGGATGAGTACCTATCTTACAGCAGATGTTCCAGATGTGTCACATGGAAGTAAGGATGAAGCCACATGAGGGCCACTGTGACAAAAGCAGATGAGAGCTTCTGAAGATGATAATTTACCATCTGGAGATCCATAGAGGGAATAAGGTAAGGACAACTGTTATCATCTGGCCCTGGGGAGAGCCAAAACTGGGCAAGCTGGCAGGTCAAACATCCCAAAGATGGAACCAACAGATCTTAGCATATATCTGACCCTGATTATCTTACACAAGCAAGTAAACAAATCCAAGTCACAAAATTCTAGATAAAAACATGGCCTTAGACGGAGCAAAGGATACCCCACCATAGACAGCAATTAAGTATGTGAATATGCTCAATAATTGTGTGGGTTTAAATTAGTTATCCCACTTGAAAAGTATCCAGGACCAGACTCACCGCCTCCCCCCTCTAGCCATATTTCTGGTGATCACACTGCTAGGCACTCAAAAAAATACCTGGCAAACAAATGAAATGAATAAGTCAATGTTAAAAAGCAGAAAATACAAAACTCAAGTGGTGTTGGCATATCAGAAAAGCTTGTCGGCAGGGAAAGTGGGTGCCTCTGAGATTGGGTGAGGTGTCCCCAAAAGGCCAATGGCAATCTCCCCAGAGTCACCTGGTCACTTCATGGAATAATGTGTCTGGAATCCAGTGTTTTGGAGGCTCTAGCCTGAGGTGGGGGCTTACAGATTTTTATTTAAGCAAATACATAATTATAAAACAAAGGTCAGGGAGACATAAGTCATCAAATATTAATGTAAACTGGTTAAAAGGACAACTAAGATATGGGGCTTTTCCAATTGTATAGATTTCATTTACCCATAGATTAGCTATTCACTTTATCCAGGCATTTTGAAATCTCAGTTTATTGTCACAATTTTGCAGCCAAGGCACTGAATCCCAAAAGTAGAGCCAGATTACACATTTTACATTAACTCTGTGAACTCCCAAAGAAAATCCTATTGCTAACCAGACTCAGAACAAGTTACACCAGGACAGGGCAGCCCTAGAACTCGTGGAAGGCTGCGGAAACAGGAGTCACTCGTTTTGGGTTCTGGAGGATCCTTGGCTATTCCTTCTACAGAACATGCTGAGCCTGTTTACCTCACAATGGTTCCTCCCACTTAACTAGGGTGTTTGGGGGGGGTCAAATATCATCTATATATGCAAAATAACTTTGTAAACTAATGCATTGTCAAATATAAAGAACTATCATTAGAGGATTATACCATTTTCTAAGCAGAACAGAAAAACAAAAAACCACTAAAGCAGAAGAAACTCCACCTAAGGGTAGAGGTACTCCACTTGGCTCTCAAAAAACTATAATTAAGATATTGATTGGCAACAGCAAATCCACTCAGGTCAAAAGACTCCACTTAACAGCATCACACCGCCGCTTAACAAACAAGTGGAGCCACGACCTCGATCTCATCGCTAACGTTAAGTTAAACATCTCCGAACAGCATCCTCCAGACTTCAAGTGTTCACCAGGTCCTCTCGAAGAGACGTTTAAAGCTCAGGTCTTCCCCTTTGACTCCGTCTCCCCGAGTACACACGCAGAAATGGGCGCGCACCAACCTAAAACCTACTTGGAGTGAAATTTCAAGGCAATCTTCAAGTCGGCTCTCCACCGGCTTCCAAGGAAGTAAGAATATCTCTCTGTCCAGAACTCATCAAATTCCATTTGTTGATTAAAAACCAAGGCAGCAAGTCCCTTCCAGCCTCACTCAACATCAAGTGGATACTACCTGGCTACACTTCGCGAAATTCTTGTCCCGCCACACAAGGAGTCTTTAGAAAGCTCAACTTTGCGTGCTCTCCCTAAGTTGAGACCACATTACGATCCCACATGACGACGGCTTTTTAGGAGCCGGGAACTAACCCGGGGAAAATGAACACCCTCTCTCCTCTTACGCAGCCCACGCGCCTCGAGGAACTAGAGCACCCTGGAAGAACCCGACACGAGCCCATTGCCCCAGTCCGGAGCTGCTCACCTCCACGTGATTCTCCACCGCCGCGCGGCCGGCAAGCTTCTTGGCCTCCTCGGCCTTGGACATCGTTGAGGCGCCCGGCAAGACGCCGCTGGCTTCCCCGCCGTTAGTGTTCGTTCCACTAGCGCCGCCGCGAACCCCTGACTGCTCGCACCTTGGCGGCTGCACGTGGGAGCCGGGGACTCCCCAACTGCTCCCGCCTCCTCCGGAGGCCGCGCCCCCAGCCCGCCCGGGCAGTGGGGCTAGGACCCGCCCGTAGAGGGAGCTGAAGGGCCCAGGGCGCTGCATCCCGACCCCCGGCTCTAGCCGTAGCCACGGTCCAGCCCCGTGTCTTCCGGAAGTCTGATACAGACGCAAGCGGAGGGTGCCCGCGCAGAACTTACTGGGACATGTAGTTCTGTGATTCCATAGCCAAAGCCGTGAGCCCTAGCCTGGACTACCAGCTCCACAATGCTCCGCGGCCGGATCCGCAATTCAGGGACAGGCTTTGGTGACCTCGCCAGTGTGGAGGGAGTGGCCGAGGTTGCGTGAATGGCGGGGCGTTTTCAGTCTTCTTCTGGGGAGGGGTTGTTAGACCTGCCCCTGTTGGTTTTTTTCCCAGCAGTAAATTAGGCGGTGGACGAGACATTAGGGCTGGGTAATCGCTTTGGAGAATGACGTCTCTAGACTCCCAAAAGAAACGCGAAAGGACAGGGGGACGGGGACTGAAGCCTACCTTAGACCTCCAAAGGCCCAGGACTAACAAGTTTAGAATTCTGGGCCCTAGACGTCGTCCTACACTTTGCAGTGTTAGTTGGCGTGCTTCCTCCAGGTGGAGCGTGATCCTACGCCTACAGAGAACCTGCAGTTGTTGTTGACTAACAGGGACTTTCACTGAACTTAAAAGCTTTCTCTTCTTTTCTCTCTCTATCTGTAAGGTGTCTTGCTGTAAGGAATAGAAGGAGCAGAGAATTTTTATTTATCCGCATCTTACAGGCAAGGAAGCTCATGCTGACCCCAGCCATACCTACAATTTGGAGGTCCTTGCAAAGCACGCAGACTTTGTGCTTCTGGCCCATGTTGGTAAGATTCCTTGCCTGTCCACGAAGTCATCTTCAAACTCTGGGTCTTCCCCCTTTTCTGTGCACAACGCACCAGTATCGGATGCTGATACCGCCCTTATCACAATTCTCTTTGCTGTGCCCACTGAAGCTGTCAGCCCCTGGAACTTAGACAGCCACCTTAGTCTAAGGAAGAAAAGTTACTTGCGGTGATATTTGGATCCTAAATTTTAGACAGAACTTGGAAATTAGCACAAAGTTCTGGCTAAGATGCAGAACCAAAGACATGGACTCCCACCAGTGTTGGTCCCTGCACCTTTGAAGGCCTCCTGAGTCCAACTTGTGACCTTTTCTCTATCCCCTTGGGGGCAGTCTTTTTCCTATTCAGTCTCTTCAGTACTAGCTACCCCAGAGGTTGGAGCAACTGTTAGTAGCCAGTCTTTGCTTTACCCCCCAGCCTCAGGGCATTTGCCCTGGATCTCCCCATCACCGTAAATGCTCTGCCCATCTCTGCACTGCCTGTTTAATCTTACCCTTCACTCAGCTGAAAAACCACCTCCTCAGTCTTCCTAATCACCTTATCTAAATTGGGCTCCCACCCACCCATCCTGTCACTTTACCCCTTTTTTTCCCATCATAGAACTTTCATGTATTTGTTTACTTAGTCTTGCACTTGTTTACCATCTATCCTCTCTAAAAAATATTTTGAGAAGAGGCACTTTGCTATTTCCCTACAACATCCTCCATGTATTTATTACATAGATGGTCCACCACAAATACTTAGAGCATGACTGGGTAACAGATTTTGTGCCTCAACCTCACATTCCACCTTCAGCCATACAGAATTTCAATGTGCCATGCACATCTTACCTCCATTTCTTTGCACACTCTGTACCCTTCCAACTCTCAGTTATTCTCAAGGATTCCATCCACTCTTACTTATTCCTCTGCAACACTGAACCCCACCTCAGCTGGGTTGGCTGCTCTTTTGTGCTTCCAATCACCTGTAACCTCTGTCATAATTTGTCTCACTCTATTCACCTCACTGTCTCATTCAAAAGACTACAAGTCACTTTATGGCAGAGACCATATTTTCCTCATAAAATGCAGAGTACCTGGCTCAATATTTTGGGAGTGAGCAATGAGTTTTACAGAGAAGTCAGAGGGTTACTTTCTAAGACTCAACCACACATTTTAGCCATTGACCTTCACAGGTGTTGCGCGTGGGTCACCGGCTAGCAGTGACCACGGAACGCTGTGGATGGCTCGACAATAAACACGCGAGAAATAACAACATGCACAGAGACAAACTAGTTTCTGTGGGGAAGTAGGGACAGAATGGCCACCCCCCCTAGTGGGGAGCGCGCTGATTTACCGTCCATACCTGCTTTTATTAGGCTCATCCTGCATAATAATTCAGGTAAAGTACAGCACTCACCAGGGGAAGTAAGGAACTATAGAAAACAAAGAACTCTGCCCGTCTATTGAGTTGGGGGGTCAAAGAGCTGTAAGGCTGAGGAACAAACTAGCTTCCTCCTAAGACCCTTCTCATTCAACTGAGAGCATTCTTGAACAAAGAAGGTTTCACAGTAATTTACATGTTCTTTCTTAGGCCTGATCACCCCGGGAAATCCGCACTTCCCAGTACCGAGCTGTACTACCCTGTCATTGTTTCAGGCTTAGGTGGAGCGCGGGAACTAAGGCCACCGGGAGATAAGGAGATTTTCTTCCGGATGCTGAGAACTCGGACTTTGTCAAAGCCGAGGAGTGAGGGTCCATCACCCCCTTTTGCTGCAGCCCCCCAAGTCCTTCTTTTGGGGGGCCTCCCAAAGTGATCGTGCCTGGCTTGGGTTGTTCCCCCGTGGGGAATCTTACCCGTCTTTGGCTAACCGACCAAGCTTTTTGGGGTTCAGCAGCAGAAGCAGCATTCCTGCCAGGGAGATAAGCTTTTGTCTCCTTGCTGGCTCACAGTTCCAAGGGCGTTCCCTTAGCCTTAGCTAGGGCGGGGGTTTCAGCCTCTGATACCAGTCAGGGCGGTTCCCAACACACAGGCTAGTTTCTTCACCTCATTCAGGTCTCTGCCAGCTCAGAGGTGTTACCTGCCGGATCACTTAATAAAGCACCATTACCCCAATTCTCACCCCTCCAATATCCATCGCGTGCCCTTTGTATCACCTTATTGTGCTCTAACATCATCTTGGTAAGTAATCTGTTTCTTTTTTATTGCTTGTATCCCCCCTTCTCAGATATAAACAGAAAATTTGCCTTTCTTATTCACTGATAGATCTCCACATTTGCAGAATAAATTAATTTGGGGACCAGCCCTTGGCTTTTCCGTCCCCTCATCCTCCAACTCCCCACTTTCATCCTCACTTGGCCTGAGGCATAGTATAGAATAACTTTTCTCTTCATTAGCCTACAAGTGGTTTCAGTGTAAGAAATCACTTTATCAAGAAATTATGATAACCACAAACCAAGATAAGTTCAGCCCAAATGTTTTTCCCTCTGCATCCCTTGTGTTTGCTGTGTATGAAGCACATAGTATGCACTAATGGGTGCTTAGCACAGCATTGCTGATGTATTTTATAGCAACTGTTTTCTTGCAGATTTCTCTGACTCAAGGCCTAGCCAGAGCTTAGAGAGGAGGATGTTCTAGTAGAGGGTACTGGGCCTGGTCCTCCACACACATGAGCAGGGTTCAAGCAGAAGAGGAACAGAAGCTGAGATGGGCAACGTCTGTTCTCCCCACTAGAAATGCAGGACAAGTGTTGGACATTTAGAATAACTTGACATAAAGTGCTATTAATTGAAACTGCAGGAAATGAGCATTGTTTTTATCCTTACAGGGAGGATAAAAGCAAAAGAAGTTACTGATTTTCTCAGCCTGTTTTTCTTAAGATGGTTAGAAAGTCCAGGCTCTTGCAGGCTTCAGTTTTTTTTCTAAATTATAATCTAAATATATATTGGGTGATGATTCAGATGATTTTAATATGAATTTTTAGAAGATTTTATTTATTTATTTTTAGAGAGAGGGGAAGGCAGGGAGAATGAGAGGGAGAGAAACATCCATGTGCAAGAGGTACATTGATTGGTTGCCTCTCACACACCCCCAACTGGGGGCTTGGCATGTGCCCTGACTGAGAATTGAACTGGCAACCTTTCAGTTCACAGGCTGGCACTCAATCCACTGAGCCACACCAGTCAGGGCTGAATTTTTAAATGGACTTTTTTAATAGCAATTTTATATTTATAGCAAATTTGAGCAGAAGGTGTAGAGAGTTGTCTGTGCTCCCTGTTCCCACACATGCATGGCTTCTCCAACTATCCACATCCCCTACCAGAGTGATATGCTTATTGCAATTGATAAATCAACACTGACACATCATTATGACTAAGAGTCCATAGTCTGCATTGTAGTTTGCACCAATCTTAGTGTTACACATCCTATGGATTTGGATAAATGGGTAACAACATGTATCCACCACTGTAGTATCAAACACAATAGTTTTACAGCCCTAAAAATCCTCTGTGCTCTGTCTGTTCATCCCCCCACCCCCCACCACCAATCCTTGGTGAGCATGATCTTTTTACTGTGTCCATAGTTTTCCTTTTTTTCAGAATGTCATATAGTTATAATCCTATATAGCCTTTTCAGATTGATTTCTTTCGCTTAGTAATAATATGCATTTAAGTTTTCTCCATGTCTTTTCATGGTCTGATGGCTCATTTCTTTTTAGTGAATTTAGTACATTCCATTGCCTGCTTGTACTATAGTTATTTATCCACTCACATACTGAAGGACATCTTAGTTACTTTTGGGTTTTTGCAATTATGAGTAAAACTGCAGTAAATATCCATGTGCAGGTTTCTGTGTGGACATAAGTTTTAAGCTCTTTTGTGTCTATTACAAGGAGCACAACTGCTAAATCATATGTTAAGGGGAGGCTTAGTTTTCAAAGAAACCACCAAACTGTACCATTTTGCATTCCCAGCAGCAATTTATGAGAGTTCTGGTTGAGACACACCCTCGTCCACATTTGGTGTTGTCAGTGTTCTTGATTTTGGCCATTCTCATAGATCTGTTGTGATATCTCATGGTTTTCTTAATTTGCATTTACCATTTGGCATATGATGTGGAGGATCTTTTCATATGCTTATTTGTCATCTGTATATCTTCTTCTTTGGTGAGGTGTTTGTTAAGAACCTTGGACTATTTTTTAATCAGAGTGTGTACTTATTGTTGAGTTTTCAGATTTCTTTGTGTATTTTGGATTATAGTCCTTTATCTAATATGTCTTT